GTTCTCAAGTTATCTTGGGTAGCAAGTCGATCCTCCAGACAATCCGTGGGTTCGGTGTCGACCTAACTAATGTGTGATTTCTAGGTTGTGTTGACAAGAGCGGTACATTGACCTGTGTCGGCTGAATGCGTAAATAATCTTAATGAGCCACAGTATTGTTATTCTGATTATGTATATTAAATGGTGAATGCGTCTCCGAAAATTCAATTGACCGCGACGTTGAGGCACTTTTTTCCATCAAGGTCGCTATGTATAGTTTTATTGGAGTGCACCTCCAGCTCTTCGTTATTCTCTCTCATGCTTCTTTGGTCAGCTGGTATTCAACCTGCAAAGAGGCCAAGATAGATCATCAATTGGCAGAACGGGTTGTCCATAGACATCATTCCAAAAAGCAATATCGTCTCCACCAACCAACCTCCCTGGCTGGGAGTCGAACCCAGCTTTCGCGCGAAATCCATTCTTTTTTTTACATGACAGGCGCGTGTACTAACCGATATACTACCAAGGAGCTGTCTCAACTCCCTTTCCGGAGTCAATATAGAGATTGGTCCTAGAGTACAATGTCTTCGAGTACATTGGAACCATTTCTGAGATTTCTGAGATCAGCAACGGCCAAGTAAAGCCTACTTTCGTCATGACAGCTTTGAGTAGTGCTTCTGAGGGGGAACCCAGAATCTTGGGAGTCTAGGATATAAGGATCCGCAGAAGGAGCCGTCGCCGTTTACTGGCGGATGCTGGTTCTCTCGTTGTAGGGCTTGATCCTCATTGCTCAGTTTAAAGCTTCGACCCGGAAGATCACAGCATGGAAAAAAAAACTGAGGCTTCAGGAGTGAGAAATCACTCGCTGCTCCGCGACTGAAGGGAGCTCCGTGGTAGGCAGTAGGGTGAGAATTGGAAATAGACATGGAAGGCTGTCTTTCGAACATGAGAGACTACGTGTTACCTTTCCTTGCGATCCCTATCATTCACAATGCCGATACCGTGACATCACTCCTACCTACCCACTGGAAGCCTCGGCGCCAAAAACTTCAGCTTTGCATATCGTAGGAATTCGAACGTCGCACCGTTGCATTTCAATCAAATCAATGCTCAGCAACCTTGGTTCTTGCATTCCCGGATCAACGGACGTTTTGTGCGTTGCTCGGACTTTGGGCCCGTCGATCGAGCTCATTACTTCCCTGGCGATCGAGCTCATTGCTTCCCTTTTGCGTAATAGGTCGAATGCTGATATGAACTTGCTAACATACACATATTATCGGCAGTCGATCCAGCTCGACGTGAGTAGAGGTCTTTTGGTTTTCGACTGTGTTCGTTTGATGAGTTTCGTAGCTCAAGCTATAAAGATGGTATCACTGATTTTCGTGACTCCTATAATCAAGGTTGACTATGATCTTCTCCCGTAGATTTGCCCGACTCCGGCGAGTTGCCAGGCGGAGACTTGCTGGGTAGCGTGCTAGGCGAAGACGGGGTGCTGGGTGGCGTGTTAGGTGGAGATCTGCTGGGTAGCGTGCGAGGCGAAGACGGCTTGCGGGGTACCACACTGGGTTGCTCGGTGGCATGCCGGAGGAGGTAAAATTGTTTCATGATTCCTCCCTTCAACTGCGCCGAGCACTGACATATTCATCGATTCATAGCAAACGCACTAAACAAGGAGGTAGATATATACTCATCATCCCTACTGTGGGTGTCGAAGAAAGATGAGTAGTTCTGTATGATCGTAGGAATAGAAAGAAAGTCGCACCGTTAATCGCCCACGATTATATGTAATTGACCTAAACAACGCTGAGGGGGGTGTACATCTACCCAAATCATTCAACGTGTTCTACTTGGTTACGTCCAACGACCTACAAACTCAAGGTGGAGAGGTCTGACTTCATGCCGTGTAGCAGAGAAAGAGAGAAAAAAACAAAAGTAATACAATTCGCCTATACGACTATTCGAGTTCTTTCCACATACCCCCAAGGAATACATAACTTACAAAACTCAGCCCAAAAACGAGACCGAAATTTACTTGCCCTCCGCAACCTTCTTCTTAATCACATCGACCACCCCAGGCTCCGCCACGGTCGACAAGTCACCTAGTTGGTCACCTTCGCCTGCTACGATCTTTCGCATGATTCGGCGCATGATCTACGTGGGGGAGGGAGAGAGGGAGGGAAAACATGAGTCAGGACAAGGAAATGAAATAACGACGGATAAACTAACCTTTCCACTCCTCGTCTTTGGCAAGTCAGGAACGATATACACCTTCTTCGGCGCTGCAAACGGTCCAATCGTCTTTCGAACTTGGATGACGAGCTCTTTGACCAAGGCTTCCTCGTTTGAGGGGTCGTATTTGAATTCCCTAGTAGCAAGAGAACACAGAACAGAACGTCAGCAAACACAAACTAAGCCACGAGATGAAGAAAGAGGGAAGAAGGAGAAGGAAGGGTAGGGAGATAGGAACTCACGGTTTCATCGTAACAAACCCAACAACAGCCTGCCCCGTCAACTCGTCGTTCACACCGATCACAGCCGTCTCCGCAACGCCCTTGTGCATGATCAACGCGCTCTCGATCTCAGCCGTCGACATTCGATGACCCGAGACGTTGATCACGTCGTCGACACGGCCTTTGATCCAGATGTACCCGTCCTTGTCGATGGCGGCGCCGTCGCCGGTGAAGTAGTAGCCTGGGTAGGGCTGCAAAGGGGGGAGGAGAGTCAAAAAAGGAACAAGGGAACAAGAGAGAAAGGAACAACGACGCTTACCTTCATATAAACATCCAAATACCTCTTATGATCACCCCAAATCGTCCTCGCAATACTCGGCCAACTCTTCTTCAACACCAACACCCCCTCCGTTTCCTCCTCTCCACCTCTATACCCCCCAGGCCCTCCTACGTTCGCAACCTCCTTCCCACTCGTCGCATCCAATAAAACAGGCAACTGTCCAAAGAATGGAACAGTCGCGCTCCCCGGTTTAGTCGGAATCGCCCCCGGGAACGGAGTGATAACAATCGACCCCGTCTCGGTTTGCCAAAACGTATCAACGATAGAACACTCCTTCTTCCCCACATGTTCGTTATACCAATTCCACGCCTCGGGGTTGATCGGTTCGCCTACGGAGCCTAGAATTCGGAGAGAGCTCAAATCGTGGTTTTCGACGTGTTGGTGGCCTAGACGACGTAACAAGCGGATTGCGGTTGGGGCGGAGTAGAATTGGGTGAGTTTGTGTTTTTGGACGGTTTCCCAGTAGCGGGAGGGGGTTGGGTAGACGGGGGTGCTTTCGAAGACGGTGGTGGTTACGCCGTTGGCGAGGGGGCCGTAGACGATGTAACTAGAGAGAGTGATATGGAGTTAGTTGAGGATGAAGGAAGGGAAGGAGGAGAGGAGACGCAACGTGTGCCCGGTAATCCAACCGATGTCGGCCATACAGGCGAATTTGTCGTCGGGGTGGACGTCGAAGACGTTCTTAACGGTTAAAGCTGCACAGAGGAGATATCCACCGGTAGTGTGGACGACACCTTTGGGTTTTCCTGTCGATCCAGAAGTCTACGAATGGTCACAAAGTCAGCAGGGAAAGGGAAGGTTAAGAATAAGGTAACGCACGTATAGAATGAACAACGGATCCTCAGAATTCATCGTCTCAGGTGGACAATACGCCGACACCTTCTCGGTCTCCTCATGCCACCAAAGATCCCTCCCCTCGACAAAGTTGACCTGATTCCCCGTTCTCTTCAACACAACAACCTTCTCGACGATCCCTTTACACGCTTCACTATCCAACGCAACGTCGACAATCGCTTTGGTCGCAATGCTCTTCCCGCCACGTTTCCCTTCGTCCGAGGTGATGAGAACTTTGGATTTACAATCGTTGATCCGGTCTCGTAGCGATTCAGAGGAGAACCCAGCGAAGACGACAGAGTGAATAGCACCAATCCGTGCGCAAGCGAGGAACGCAGCTACAGCGTACCACGTCATAGGCAAGTACACCGAGACTGTATCCCCCTTCTTGACACCGAGCCCCTTGAGAACGTTGGCGATCTTGCAAGTCTCGTCGAGGAGTTTAGCGTAGGAGATGTACTCGTGTTGGTTGGGTTCGTCGGCTTCGTAGATGATGGCTGTTTTTTCGGGGTGTTTGAAGGCCCAGCGGTCGAGACAGTTGTAGGAGGCGTTGAGTTGGCCTTCGGGGAACCAGGTGATGTTGCCTTCTTCGAAGGTACCGTGTTGGACGGTTTGGAAGTCGCGGAACCAGTGCAGGGTTTCACGAGCGGTCTTAATAAATAGAAAGAGAAAGTTAGTTTAGATGAAGAGAAGGAGATGAAGGGAATAAGCGCACCTTGGCCCACCATTCGTCACTAGCGTCGCCTACAGTCTGCTTGTGGGCATTCTCATAAGCCTCTCTGTCAGGTCCAACGTGGGGTTTCTTATCTCCTTTAACAACGCGAGAGCCCACTGGGTGAGTTGGGATAGCTTCTTCAGACATCGTGGGCGGGCGGGGAAATAGAGGGAAAAGGGAAAGAAAGACGTTATCGATTGAAATTAGATTTGGGGGACAACCGGCTTATATATACGGATTGTGG